TCGGTTATGATGCCTCTTTATTCTTGAGTACTGGTCTTACGCTTTAATACCAGCTAATACTCATAAATAAGATTTTAAATAAAGTTTATTTTCTAAGTTTAATGCAGTTAATTTCTTTAAATAACAGACCTATAAGACAAAGCGTGTATTTAATGAACTCAACAAATGATATCCATTTTAGAATTTCCGTCAAGCAGCTGCGTGCGAAGAAACGCTGGAAATAGAACAAAAGATCTGCTATATCCCATAGAACCTATACGGGCATCCGACGTGTCAAGTCTTTCTCGAAACCTAGGTACATTATAAAACGATATGCAAGCAATCCATTTTATATAGTTTTATTTATCGCTGTGTGTATATATGTATGATAAATGAGTATGCGCTAAAGCCGTAAAATCTTTGTTTTTAATTTATTGTTAATTTTTCATGTTTCGATGAACAAATGGAAAGTAGAGCAGACCGTTTTTGGTAGTTCCGTGATTCGTAGTATGAAAAACTACTCAAAGAGAAATATTTCTGCATGGAGTCAAGAACTCAAACTGAATATGTGCAGTACTTAAGACAAGTTGTAATGATGCGACGAATTTTAAGCATCAAAGAATTAGGGAGGGGGACGTCTACGTATGAATTTTGTATCACTGCCAACATTTTGGTCAAATTACGTAGGCGGCATCATCAGAGAAAACTGAGCAGATATCGCAAAATGTCAAAGCTAAAGCAAACACGTGTAAATGAAAAGCCAAGCTATAGCGATTTCAAACGAACTGCAGCTAAGGCTGCACAAGTCAGACTTTATCCAAAAGCATTTGCAATAACTCTTTGACAATTCTGTCATGTCTCTGATCGGTCACGGCGAAATTCGCCTCGTCCAGTTGATGTTCATTTTCTACGGCATGGGGAAAAATAAGTATTTATAATAAAGGATGATTCAAAATGACTTTCTTCTGTACGTATTTTTAAACTCCTGAAGGTGTTACTGATATGAATGCAATCACAACAGATTTTGAAGTAAACAGCGCTGTTAATTTCAATACGATCACAATTATCAAACTTCTTGTTCAAAAAAGTGGCACCCAGAGAGAAAACCAAACCTCATTTACGTCTCAGTAATTTATAAGCGTATGCAAGAAGACCGACATATACCGACCTGCATAAGAGTGACGTTTCGCGAATTCTACAAAACACGATTTTTGTGTAAGTCACATTTAACCAAATATATCTATTTATAACAATCTGCTTCTTACGTGTTTACAGTGCGTCCACAAAGCAATGCAATAACACTTTTTAAAGGCCATTTCTGTTACTTTCATTTACAAGATACGCACACAAGTTAAATTTGAATATATAATTATTAGTAGGTGCGCTAGGTAAAATTCTTAACTCGAGGTTCTTCCACTGCCCTTTCACAATAATTTGCGTAAGATCTAAATTTGCATAGATCTAATGTACGCAAGTGGGCAGCTGTCAGTATTTTTTAAAATTATACGTATAAAAAATATATCTATGCTGCACTTGTGTCAAAGACTTTAATTATCAATGTTATTAATTTAAAAGTTATCATTGAAAATTGTTCAAATTTTTTAAATTTTATCAAATTCTTTGAAACTTCATCAGCCGACGAAACTAA